GCTTTTAGGGCTTCAGCTCGATCGAGTACGAGCTTTTAGGGCTTCAGTTCGATCGAGTACGAGCTTTTAGGGCTTCAGCTCGATCGAGTTCGAGTATCTATTTTCGAGTTCGAGCTCAATCGAGTTTCCAAGTTCGAGATCAAATCGAGTCAAGTCCAATATTTTCGAGCTAAAACGATTTGGATTTAGTACATGTCCAGCCTTAGTGGAGAACAGAGCTACACCTTCGTAAAATGACCGAATCCTACGCGATTAAAGTGAGAATCGTCTGTACGCAAAGTCGAAACGGTTTCCATGGAAATGTACTATCACGGAAGCCATTGTAATTAGGTTTCCGTCCGTGAGAAGCGAAACCTGGACGAATTTGTGTAGATTCGCTTACTATTCGATAAAGTCACATAAGAATCAATTTTCTTTCTTCTTTTATGTTGAGAAAGATTTTCACTCTAAAAGTATATGATATAAATTTATGCTATGGAAGGCAGTAAGTAAAGCAAACTAGTGAGAAATCGCCAGAGAAATATTTTACTTGTTTTACACGAAGGGAACAAGCTCGAAGGTTCTTAATTATCCTTCAAATCTTTCATCAAAACCCCAATGCAGAGAATGCACGTAAAGTTAGCCATTGAGCACCTTTTTTACTCAAGACATATTTTATCTCGTAAATTACTCTGCTAAACATACTCATCATGGACGACTTCATCCAACATCCGATATATAACTGAACGAACAACTAGACAATCTGCAAAAAGCAACAATGAAAGCTCAAAATGAAGAGAAAACTAAGGAAAAACTGGTAATTGTTCATTACTCAATCACTGTATCCGGCTCGTTTTCTGAAACTTTCATAGAGAAAACGAGCGTGCACAAAAAGCAATGATAGTTTACTACTGAAACGGCGTGTTTTATGATACACTTCAACTCATACAACTAAAGGACTCACCGGCAAAGACAGTCAAAAGGCTTCCTAATCGACGAGTGTTGACTGAACATAAATGAGATCCATATTGTCCACCATTCACATTGGATGAAACAAGCGGCAAACTATGAATTATGGATCTAAAGTCATTCAGTGGACGCTTCTCAGATTTACGTCAAAAAAAAGGAGCAACACGTACTAACATCTCTGGCCACTACGAGCTTTGACATGGACACAACTCTTTAACAACAACGCTTCTTACACCGAGAGTTTAGACGATTTTCCTTCGACTATGCGAATATCCATAAACTGAGAAAATAACTTGCCACATCAACGTGGAACGCTTCCGATTCACCATAATGCTTTTGAGCAAGATAATTCCAACCAACTATGTGTTTCATGCGCAAAACAATACATCTACAGAATAGAAAAACCAACCACTTTTTTCGAGATAAAATGATTGCAACGCTATGATTTAGTAAACCGCTTCCTGAGTGGGATCAAGCGAAATACATGATGTGATTACTACGCCCAGGGGAAGTGACACGAAGCCACTATAAACTTGGCCCACCATTGTGTCATAGTGTTGAAAACTCAAGTCGGTGCACATTGAACGGCACACATCATGGAAATATAATTTTCACTACACAAGAGGCGGACGCATTCCCGATTATTTCATGGCACACACTTTCCCGGAAGCTTTAAAATGTGTTCATGGAATAATATGCTCGCGCCAATTTATCATGGTACTATACCACACGGGTCAAAAGTAACTATATTGCAATTTTGCCGATGAGACATTGAAGCAAATCATCGGAAACATGCCAGGTAAACGTGCAAAGCAGAAACTATCACTTCGGAGCAGTACTCGCAATTGCTAGATAATGAATTGACGTAATGCCTTCCTCTTGCTACCAAAATGTATCGCTAATAAATGGAATTCACAAGTGGATCATGTCCTTTGACGCTAGTGTGTCAATACACTAGAATTGTGCGTATACGCTTCGTATCACATTCCCTATTTTACAGCTTCAAGCGGTGCTGGCGAACAATCCCAAATCCGGAACTCAACCGTATCGACTGCGTTCGCAGACACATCGACGTTAAGAAGAACAAAATTAGTACTTCAATGTATGGCCATACGATTGTAAGTTGATATCTGGCTGTATCACAACCGCGCCAATATTCGCTAGGTTTGTGTCCCGTCAGACGAACAGACTATCTATATAAGAATTCGAACTTTCACACTGATCGCAACAGGCTTTCTTGGTGTCCTAATGTGCAGCGGTACTTAGTAAAATGAAACTTACGAGCTGCACACACGCAGGGCTATTTCTGTACGTCCAACAACCTGCCCGCTGTCAGTACTAAAGGCTGATCTACAGTATAGAAAAAAAACGTGCTTCGTCTCAGCAAAAACTACGCCCAAACATGAAATACCAAGTCGCTCAGTTATCGCCTCCTTTTCGGCAAAGGATCGCTTACAAATCCACCAATGAGCACGTAAGATACGATGGTAGTGGAACTCTGTTTACTCCGATTCAGAAAGAAAATATGCGGATTTCCAAAACCATTGCCATTCAAACGCACCATTCTGTCATTCTATGAACAACTATTCACATTGCACTCTACTGATGCCCTGGCACTCGAAAGACCTGTTGTTTTTGATGATTTTATCGAACTGACGGCACAAAGCTTCGCGAATGCACAGCGGCGTGAACCTATTCAACACATGATCACTCGAAGCTCTACTGGTGCGCGGCACTGCTCGACCCGCTGGTATGTGATCATGTTCGAAAATTGATCAAGTTGAGCTCCACCGGCACGCTGGTGCGATAGCGTGTTGGCCCTCAAGTATATGCTCATGTTTAAAAAGAAATTATCATATTCAGTTCCGCTCGTGCGCTGCTCTACTAGTCCGCAGGTGTATGATCATACTCAAAACTTAATCACATTGAGCTCCACTGGCGTGTGACCATGTTCAGAAATTGATCACATTGAGCTCCGCTGGCGCGTGACCATGTTCAGAAATTGATCACATTGAGCTCCACTGGCGTGTGACCATGTTCAGAAATTGATCACATTGAGCTCCACTGGTGCGTGATCCTGTTCAGAAATTGATCACATTGAGCTCCACTGGTGCGTGATCCTGTTCAGAAATTGATCACATTGAGCTCCGCTGGCGCGTGATCCTGTTCAAAAATTGATCACATTGAGCTCCACTGGCGTGTGACCATGTTCAGAAATTGATCACATTGAGCTCCACTGGTGCGTGATCCTGTTCAGAAATGGATCACATTGAGCTCCACCGGCGTGTGACCATGTTCAGAAATTGATCACATTGAGCTCCACTGGTGCGTGATCCTGTTCAGAAATTGATCACATTGAGCTCCGCTGGTGTATGACCATGTTCAGAAATTGGGCGCATTGAGCTCCGCTGGTGCATGACCATGTTCAGATATTGATCACACGGAGCCCCACTGGCACGGATGTGCGCTGCTCTGCTGTCCGCTGGTGCGTGGCTATGTTCCAAAATTGATGACAATGTGCTCGGCGGCTGCGCTCGTGTGTGTCTAGGCGGTTCTACTGTTGCGTGGCCAAGTGAGTGCACTGGTGTGGCTAACTGGTTGCACTCTTTTATTACTGCTGCCGCTCACGGATGAATTACCGTTGCGGCTCGCTGGCGCATTGCCGTTCCAGATCGAGGATGCATTGTTGGGCCGTATCGGTGGTGGTTTGTCGCTCCGGATCGGCAGTGCATTACCGTTTCGGCTCGCTGGGGCATTGCTGTTCCGAGTCGCTGATCTAGTGCCATGTTGGTTCAATGAGGCGTTACTAAGATGTTGCGTTGAAGTTTGGTCATGTTGAAAATGTGATCACGCTGGAGCGAGGGACGAAGGTGGTGATCAGGGTTGCCAGATGAAACTTTTAAGAATGAGAATTTTTTTTCTCAAATTCAGAAAATGATCAGAAAAGTTTTTTGGAAAATCAGAAATTAATCAGAAACGTAGTTTTTTGCAAACCAATTTGTATTATGTTAAGAGCACCATATAACAGAAAGTTTATTGTTTATTTGTGTAATCCACAATAAGGCTATAAGGAAAAGCGAAAATATGGATTTATTATAAGCATCAGTTCACAATCAGTAGATGATTGTATAACTTCGACACTACCAATCATCAACAGAAAGAAAAGATGCTGCAATATTAATCTATTATAGTAATGGGTTATGATAAGATTTAATTTCGCTAAAAAAGCTGTGATATGATTTAGAAAAGTTCAGAATTCAGGAGAAAAGCAGGGAAAGTTATCAAAAAAAGGAAAAATCAGA